GAGGACAATCTCACATGCTCAGGTGCTATATATTCTGACATAGGGTCTCTCACTGGGGTGGAAGTCTCACCAATTAGGCTAGGCTAGCTTGGCAGTGAGCCCTAGAGGGATGCTTATTTCCACTCCCCAGGGCAGGGATTATAGTATAAGCCACCACACTCAGCTTTTTTTTTTTTTTTTTTAAATGTTGGTTCTCGGGCACAAACACAGGTCTTCGTGCTTGCAATGCAAATACTTTACTGACTGAGTTATCTCCTCAGCCCAAGTCCCTGTCTTTAAAAAATAAAGGCACAGGATGTGGTGGCACATGCCTTTAATCCCAGCCCTTGGGAGGCAGAGGCAAGCAGATCTCTGTTAGTTCAAGGCCAGCCTAGTCTACATAGTGAGTTCCAGGCCAGCTGTGACTACAGCAAGACCGCATCTCAAAAACCCAAAAAGAGGGCTGTAGAGATGGCTCAGCAGTTAAGAACACTGACTGTTCTTGTAGAATACCTGAGTTCAAATTCTAGCACCCACATGGCAGCTAACAACTGTCCGTAACTCCAGTTCCAGGGGATCCCACGGCCTCTTTTATCCTTTGCAGGCATTGCACAACATGGGTGCACTTACCTACATGCAGACAATACACGCATACACATAAAATAAAAATAATATTTTTTAAAAAAAACCAAAAAGAAAAAGAAAAAAAAAAAAAGATCCCTACCATAAGCATCATGTGGTGGTATATGCATGTAATCCCAAATCTCAGAAGGTAAAGGAAGAAGCATCAGGCTTTTAAGAATAGTTTCTAGCTGGGCATGGTGGCGCACGCCTGTAGTCCCAAGCACTTGGGAGGCAGAGGCAGGCAGATCTCTGTGAGTTCAAGGCCAGCCTGGTCTACATAGTGAGTTCCAGGCCAGCTGGGGCTACAGGGAGACCCTGCTTCAAAAAGACAAAAAAAAAGAAAAAGAAAAAGAAAGTTTCTACAGGAGACCTTGCTCAAATAAATAAATAACCAACTGCAATGCATTTCATAAATACTTATTTTTATAACATTATGCTTTTCTCATGTATTTTTTGTTGTTTCCATTTTATTTTATCTTTTTACAAATGTTTTTGAAGTGTTGTGTATTTCATACAGAAAAACATCTTTATACCCCCTTCTCCTTTGGCACCCTCCTATAGCTCCCCCCCACCGGAGTTTATACATTCTGTCATTTGTGTGAAGGCCTATTAAGTAAAGTTAGTGTCCCCAGATGGCCCTCTGTGCAAGTTCATCTACTGGGATCTAGTCAGTCTATCTACAGTTCCTCCCTTTAAGATCAGCTCTTCCTCACCCAGCAGTAATTATCTGCCAATAATTCCTCAACTAAGATTGGGGACTGTTGTTCATTTCCACAGTTCTGTGCTGGATTTTTGTCTGCTTGAGTTTGCATGGGTATTATGCATGCTAACTCCACTGCTGTAGGTTTGTATGAGAAGGGTCCCAGGAGCCTGTAGTGATGGAATCAAATTAAAGCCCCCCAGGTTAAAGTGGATTCAAACCAAGTCCCCCAGGCCAAAGAAGAATATTCAGAACAAGGGAGTAAGAAGTAAAATAATTCTAACTGCTGAGAAAGAGCTGACCTTTTCATGCTCCGTACACAAGCCGGACATCACCTGAAACTTCCCCCCTCCTACTGCTGCCGGCCCCCTCCCACTGCTACCGGTTGCTACTGGCCCCCTCCCACTGCTGCCAGTTGCTGCCGGCCCCCTTCCCACTGCTGCCGGTTGTGGTTTGTGGTTTTTGCCTTTAAAAATCGCCTGTAAGCTGAGCTCAGGGCTGCTGCTCTCTCTCTCTCTCTGAGTGAGGCAGGGGCCCGTCTGCACAAACGATTAAATCCTCTTGCTTGTTGCATCTCCTGGTCTGAGGACTGAGTTATTGGGGTGCGGCCTCCCATGGACGTTGGGTATCCCAGCCTGGGGGTCCTACAGTAGGACTATTTCTGTATGGTCATGCACCTCCTCCCTGGCTCTTACAATCATTCTGCCCCCTCTTCCATAATAATCCCTGAGCCCTGGGTAGATGGACCTCAATATAAGAGTCCTATCCAGGGACCTACACTCTGTAGACTCTTATTCTCTGCGTCCCTGAGCCCTGGGTAGATGGACCTCAATATAAGAGTCCTATCCAGGGACCAGGGACCTACACTCTGTAGACTCTTATTCTCTGCATTTTGGCCATTTGCGGCCTTTTGTGTTCCTGGCCCTCTGTTGCATGAGAGAGCTTCAGTGATGAAACTTGAAAGATGTATTAGTGTTCTCTTCATCCCTTGTTCTATGTTCCATGAATCTTAAGTGTAGAGGTTGCATCCTAGATGGGCCACTTAGGCTGGGGCAATTCACAGACAATCTTTGTGTGTGACCAGTTGTGGAACTCTGTAAGTATCTCTGTCTACTGAAAAAGAAGCTGCTAGCCAGACTGCTCTTGCAGAAGACCTGGGTTTGATTTTCAGCACCCACAAAGTGGCTAACAACCATCTGTAACTTCAATTCCAGGGGATCTGTTGCCCTCTTCTCACCTCTACCATGCACCCACATACAAGCAGGCAATATACACTCATACATATAAAATAAAAATAATAAGGGCCAGGTGTGGCACATGCCTTTAATCCCAGCACTTGGGTGGCAGAGGCAGGCAGATGTCTGTGAGATCTAGGACTGCCTGGTCTATATAGTGAGTTCCAGGCCAGCTGAGGCTACGGCGAGACCCTGTCTCAATAATACCAAAAAATAAATATAAATAAAGTTTAAAAAAAGAATATTTTTCCCTTCACTACAATATTTAAAAACTGGCACTTGGATTGTGTCAACAGAAGGTTTATTTCCAGGGGAAAGTGCTCTAGTTCTGAAAGCAGTTTACATCCAAATAACATGCTTAGCTGCTATTGAGCCATGAGTGATATGCAGGGGTATTGCTTCTGGAAAGAGTGCAACATGTTGCTTCTGCCAAGCATGGCCTGCCTCCATGGATATGATCAGCTGTCCCCAAAACACGTGTTCAGGTAATAAGCAATTCAAATCTCAAGAATGTTGTTAGGGAGGAGAAGAGTAAATAGGAAACTAGATGTTTGATAACAAACTAGTAAATAATCACTAAAAAATGCAAATACATCCAGACATTTTCTTCATAAAGTTATAGATCAGTTCCTATGAAAACCCTAAATAATTTATAATTTAAATGAAAGAGCATTATAATGCTGACTGTAACCTAAATGCCCATTCAAAACAGTCAAATATAACTGACAGTAAGATACATGTATCTAGCATGTTAAATGTACCTATAGTATACATATAACTAGTATATTAAATGTAAATGCTTAAACCATACCTTAATTCTAATTATCAAATAATTCATATGACTGATTTTAAAATGATGTATTATTAGACACATACAAAACAAACAAGAGCTGGGGCTGTAGCTCGGTGGTAAGTACTTTCCTAGCAAGTGCAAGACCTTGGGTTCTATTCCAGGCATCATGAAAGAGTAATAATTGCTTTGGGAGCTGGTAGTATAGCTCAGTGTTAGAGCATCTTCCTAGCATGTGTGAAGCCTTGGGTTCCATCTCCAACATCAGAAAAGAACATTTACTTTGTAAAATTTGTATATTAACAATTCACTAGAGAAAATACGCCCACTGGATATTTACAGACCAAACAACCATAGACGATAAAAATGGATGCACAACAGTTCTCAGCTCATTTTGGGGTTCTAAAAGCACATGTCATGCCTCTGGCTTACAGATTATTCGGAAGTCAAAGGAAAGAAGAAGTTCTTAAACCCAAGATCATTAGGTTTCTAAACTATTCCAACATCAGAATATAATGTAGAGAACAATATTACTACAAGTCAAAATCATTCCTAGCACACCCCTTTCCTAAATTACATGGGAACAAATACTTTCTATATCGGGGAAACTTTTGCCTGAAGTTGCATAGAGTAGTCAGAAAAGCCCCAGTCACCTGGATGTAATGTCTAATCCTGTATCTATCCAGTGCTACAGCATCAGCAGAATTGCCAGATAAAATGCAGAAGAGCTTACCTGACACAAACTTATACTAAAAAAATTTACTGGTTAGCTGAAACACAAATTAAGTGCACGTCCTATACTTTTATTTTTAAATTTTTTTAAAGGGGCTGGAGAGATGGCTCAGAGGTTAAGAGCACGGACTGCTCTTGCAGAGGACCCAGGTTCGATTCCCAGCACCCACATGGCGGTTTCAAAACGTCCTTAACTCCAGTTCCAGGGGAATCTGAAGCCCTCTTCTGACCCCTGAGGTATTGCATGACACGGGTGCACTCACATATATGCTGGCAATACACTCATACACATAAAATAAAAATAATAAATAAAATATTTTTTAAAAATTTTTTAATGACTGGTCAAGTGTGGGGCTGGAGAGATGGCTCAGTGGTTAAGAATCCTGATTTGTTATTTT